GGGGGGGGTGGCCATTCCCCCTCCCCGCATAGTGAGGCCCCCGTCTGTACTTCTTGTGGCACTAGGCATGGAGGCGGTTCGGGCTTCAGAGCAGCTGCCACTGTGGCGTACAAAGTGAAATCCCGGGGTATCAAGTACTCGGGATCCACGTGGTGAAAAGAGGACATTTGGGTGCCCACTACTTGCCATTCCGTTAGACCTACCCCTGTATGGGCGATCCAAGGGGAGACTTTCAGGATCTTTTCCACCCACGCCCTGCACTCCTTTATATGTATTTTTATGCCTGAACTCTTACACAACGTAAAGATCTGACATGCTAATACTCCCGTATCCTCCGGCTTAAACTGTTTCACTACTCTGTTTCCCATGTCTACTTCTAGGTGCCCCGTAAACCTAGGGCGTCTGACTCTTCCCCTCTTAGCTAAGGGGGCTTACCTCGCTCGGCGGGGACGGATGTCCCTGTTCGGGCGCCAGCTGTCCGGTTCTATTGCCGGACCCCGAGCGAGCTCCTCTCGGTGGGTTCCGCTTCGGACGTCTCCGGATTCCCTCCCCGGGGGACGGCGGGCAGGGACTCAGTCAGACACTGCTTCGGGAGGCATATGTTTTATTAATTGCGGAGGAATCCCCCGAGCAAGCTGGGGCGTTGGTCTATATAGGGTCTGTCTTCCGGGTGGCCACCCCAATCCGCCCCGAGGGCGAAACCTGCCACCTGTATGGAGCAAAGAGTCTCGCCCAATCCCATCCTTACACGTACCCCGTGTAGGGAGCCGTGTCTTTCTGGGATTGGGGGCTCTCACCTCCCAGGGAGGTTCCTATCCGCTCAGGCGTCTAGGGCCGACCGCCCCTAACAGTCCCAGATCCTGACCTTGTGCAGGAGCCTAGGAATAGGCAACTCTGTTGCTCGCTACCCAGTTCTGGGTCAGATTCTGGGTAGACCGAGGAAAACTGCAGCTAGGGGTGGTGTTTCACAGAGAGGAACAGTTGTGGACGTTAGACTAAGTACTGAGCAAGAAGCAAGTGTAGAAGCAATCAGCAACTATGTAGATTAGAATGGGATCTCGAGCCAAATCTGAAGGCAGCAGTAGAATAATCAGAACAGGAATCCCAGATTAAAAGGGAGCCTGCACTTCTCTCATTCTGAACCTACAAGGCTTTCAAGTTGGCTAATAGTGTCTGAGTCCAACCACAGGCAAGCCAATAGATCTGTTGCTCAGACTCAAAGCCGGGTCAGGAATTTGCAGAGCTCAGACAAGGAAGGAACTGATCAGCTTTTGCCGTGGATCAGACCATTCTGGAAACACTGAAAACCTGAAGGTCCTCAACCTGAGCTGTCCTTGAGAGCCTGGAATAACACAACACTCGATACCCCAAGAAAGCAGCGACAAGAACCTAGAGGACATGAGGTCAGCCCAAATATTCTCTCCAGAAGTTCACGGAGCCCAGCCCTACTATCAAGTCCAAAGTCAGGAAATAGGCTGGAAGAATAAACAAACAAAAAAGAATCTCACTATAAAAAGCTATTACAGTGGCAGAGACACTCAAGACACAAATCCAGAAGACAATGACTCCAAACTTGCATTAGCAAAGCCTCAAAGAAAAACACAAGTTGGGTACAAGTTCAACTAGTATTCCTAGAACAGATGAAGCCAGAGTTTTAAAAAGTTTTTAAATGTTTTTTATAAATTAAATGAAAGCACTAGAAAATAGAAAATAAAATTGGAAGAGTAATGAGAGATATGGAAGAAAGAATTGGCAAAGTAATTAACTACTTGGCAAAAGAGGTACAAAACCTTACCCAAGCAACAAATTCCTTTAAAATTAGAATGGACCAAATAGAAGATAATGATTCCATGAGACAACAAGAAATATTAAAATAAAGCTAAAAGAACGGAGAAATAGAAGGAAATGTAAAGTACCTCTAATTTTTTTTTTTTTTTATTAAGGCAATTGGGGTTAAGTGACTTGCCCAGGGTCACACAGCTAGCGAGTGTCAAGTGTTTGGCCTGAGGCTGGACTTGAACTCAGGTCCTCCTGACTTCAGGGCCAGTACTCTATCCACTGCACCACCTGGCTGCCCCCTAAAGTACCTCTAGCAAAAACAACTGACACGGAAAACAGATTAAGGAGAGATCATTTAACAATCATTTGGCTACCTGAAAGCCATGACCAAAAGAGAGCCTAGACATAACTCAAAAAATCATAAAACTGCCTTGATCTCTTAGAATCAAAGGGCAAAATGGAGACAGAAAGAATCCACCTCCTGAAGGAAACTCCAAAATGAAGACTCTGTGCTTAGTGGGATAGCAAATCATTAGAGAGGGTTAAAGGATCACCTTGCTGCAGTGAAGCCAGTAAGCATGGTGTTGAGATTTTCTCCAGCTCCATTCAGCAGCATGAGAGTAGTAATGAAGGAGGCAGGTGGTAGGCATAGTCCACAGCTGGGTTTGGCAGATTGTGACTGAATAAGTGGTTAAGAAATTTGAGAGTGAAAGAAAATGTCAAATTGGATAGGAATGGCATTGGAGGCTTGAGTAAAGAAGTGATTTGGAACAGTTTCTCTAGAGTGGGTAATAGGGAATCAGTCTAAGGGGAAAAAAAAAAAGGGTTTTCCATGCATTGGAGATGGCCCAGTTCAATTCTGTTGGCATGGTTTTGGAGTGGACCCAGTTGTCATATTTTCATGACTTTCTCTAGTTATGCCTAGAAGTTTAGGAATAGAAAGCAGACTGGGTAATGCAGGGTTGGAGATTAGCAACAATGGACTACCAGGTAATGTGGGATTCAAACTGGTGAATTATCAGATCAAAACAGTGAAGAGAAGGAAATGAGGCTAGAGCAAGGATAATGGACTGGGAGGCACTGGATGTGTGGTGAGAATTAAGATATATTTAGGAGGAATGAGGCAGGAGAAATGGAAAGACTAGAGGTTATTATCGCAAAAGAGAAATTCACAGTTTGAAGATCACTGAGGTAGCACAGGTAACTTGGGAAAGTGAGGTCTACTTTAAAAGAGTAGGGCTGCCTGATTCTCCAGCAACCTTGAGTCCTTTCCCCTTTGGAGTGGTACCCAGGTTTATACCCTAAGTCTAGAGGAAGGTACAGGCTTACTGGTGAGTAAAGGACAGTTAGTTGTCTTGTTCATTTATGGGCTTCAATGCAAACCCTCTTCATTTTTCTCAGATTATATTCAGTGTTCTGTTACCGTGAGTGCTAGTATGTTCTATTATTCCTGTGGAAAACCCTGGATGAAGGCACAAATCAGATGCTGGTTTTCACAGAGTAGACTCTGGGTTAGAGCAAGGTGAGCCAGATTAACAGACACCCCCCAAGAACTGTTTCCCATGGCTTTGGGTCACACATTACAACCTAAGAAAGAACTTGGACAGGACCATTATATCCTGGGCTGCAGAGTAAGTGATCCCTTCCTAAGAATTGACTAGGTTTGTCTCCCTCTCCTCCCTCTCAGGATCCTTCATCTGCTAAGGCTGATGCTATATTCGGGCATGGGATGGCCAACGTAACCACAGTGGGTGGAAAAGCACAGTCTATATCTGACCTAGTGCATCCCACCTCCTTACCTCTTCCCTGGTTCCTGGAGCCAGGATGGCAAAGCACCAGTCAGCAACTAGACATTGTAGCAACTTAACCCAGCAGCGTGCCCTTTTTGCCCAACTGTTCCTCCCAGGACTTGACTTTGGCTAATGAGCAACATTTTTTGGCACTAGGGGCTGGAATGGGCCCAAGGAGCATAATCACTCCCAAGTGATGTGTGAGAAGTGATTTTCTTTTATATTAATAACCAGTTATTAATTAGGAACCCAGCTGTTTATTTCCTCATTTAGGGACCAGCCCCTGTAGGTCAGCCAGTCTCTGAAGGACAAGATGAGATTGGCCTAATCCTCGGGCTACGTGCTCTTCAATCTTTTTGGGGGTTTTTCTTTTTTTTTGGCTAGGCAATGGGGTTAAGTGACATGCCCAGGGTCACACAGCTAGTAAGTGTCTGAGGTGGGATTTGAACTCAGGTCCTCCTGACTCCAAGGCCGGAACTCTATCCATCGCGCCAGCTAGCTGCCCCTGGCTTGCCTGTTGGATATCCCAAACTAGATGTCCAGTAGACATCTTAAATCTAGCATATCCAAAAAGAACTCATTATCTTTCTTCCCCAGACCCTCCCTCCATCCTAGGAAGGATTTTCCCTATCATCACAGGCATGGGGGCAGCGAGGTGGCGCTCTGCAATCTTGGGCAGAACCCCAACAGACTTGGAGACTTTATTTCTGTTTAGAGTATAAACAGAATCTAATCTAGGTGAATTCCAGCCTCAAAGCATTAAGCCCATGTCCTTGTACCCCTTCGTTAGAGTTTAGGGTAACCCAGCTCACGAAGGAGAAAATCAGCCAGAGTGGACTGAGTAGAGATGGATTCCTTTGTCCACATTGCTGGAGGTAGCTGAGTCTCATGATGAAACCACATGCTCAGAAGGACTTTTAGCCCACCTCCTCATTAACTGTTCATCAATCGTGGTTGATTTCTCTTGCCAGGGGCATTCCCTTTCAAAAAAAAAATTTAAGGCATTCAGTGTCTTCATTAGGTGGCTTTGGTCATTGAGGAAGGTGATCATCAATTTGTTATTAGCTAGCCTATTTAATAAATTGATTATTAATTACCCAGAAACTCTGTCTCTTGGGATTTTCATTTGTCACAGGTGAAGATAAAAGAGGAAAGGTAAAGGAAAGCATCTTGGAAGAAGAAGGCCAGGCAGTATTTTAACCATAAGAAGAATCCTCGGAAGAATCTAGTCTGGCCAGAAGGGGGAAAGTTTGGGAGAATCATTGAAGATAAAGAGGGAGAAGAGAAGCAGCATATTCTTGTGAAGAGAGTACTTGAGTTCTGAGTCAAGAGGGATCTCATCTCTTGTCTCTGACATGTCCAAGTTGTTCATCCTGAGTCTCGTTTCCCTCGTTGGTAAAATCTGGGGGTGAGGGGAGGGTATAATGCTACTTGCACTATGGAGCTCAAATATAAATTGGACCAGTAGGAAGGTCAAGACCGAGCTGCAGAGAAGCCTTAGAGTACAAGCAGGTGTCAGCCTCCAATCTACGGGCAAAAAGAGGCCTTCCCCAAGAAACTCCACAAGGGGAGGCCAGAGCCACAGGAGGGTCCAAGTGTGACACACTGTAAAATAAGATGATGAGTTCAGATCTGGCATATAGGAGGCTCCAGGGACACTGCTAAAGCTCTATGCTTGGGAGATGGGGGCCCTGAGAGGGGTCAGACCCCACCTAAGAAGAAAAGAAAGTCATTAGGATAAGATGGGAGTGGGGCATAGAAATACAGCCAAAGCAGAGGAAGAGAACAGAGTTCTTTATTCAAAAGAGCATACCGGAGGGCCCCCCATCGTTGTGATGGGGCCAAAAGGCCAAACACTGCCTCTCCAGGCTAGGTTCAGACCAGGCTGCAGCTCCCTCCTGGGGCAAGTGGGTGAGCTCCCTGTGAGGCTCTAGGACAAGACTGAGACACGTTTCCCTGGACTGCGGTCAATACTGGCCTCCTAATAATGATAAAAAAAATTAGGCTCCTTCTCCCAGGGCCTTGGGGGGCTCCCCAACAGGCTAAAGACCAAAAAATGGATAAGGATCCCCTTGGAACAAACTTCTAGTAACATCCCTGCTTATTGATGTCTCTGGGACTTTCTCTTTTCTGATCCTCAGAGGATTCCTGAGTAACCTGGAAAGAAAAGTCTCCCTATCCTGGCTTCTCTGGGGTCCTTACCTCTGACAGGGCCCCCTCAGCAACCACATCACTGCCCCCTTCAGCAGCTGTCTCTATGTTGCTCCCCTTGGACCCTCTGATATCACGTTGGCCACCAGCTTCCAGCTCCATCTTTAGTCTGGCAGGGGAGAGGTTAGAAAGGTCAAGGTCAGGGTGGGAGGGACATTAGGAGGCTGGGCCAGAGAGAGACCCAAATATGCACGCGCACGCACACACACGCACACACACACACACACACACACACACACACAGAAAGTGACCCAGAGAAAGGAAAAAACAGACACCAACTATGAGAAATAAGAGGGACAAAGACACACAGAGAAAAGCACATGCCAAAATGAAGAGACACACAGATCCAAAAAGAGAGATATGCACCAAGGTAAAGAGAAACCTAGAAATAGGGAGGGGTGAAGGGGCACAAACAAAACTCATGTCAGAATATCAAAGGAACTAATGAAGAAAAAATGCAAAGGAAGGAGGTTTAGCAGTACCAGATCTTAAACTATAAGGCAATAATTATCAAAACCATCTGGTACCGGCTAAGCAATAGAAAGGTAGATCAGTGGAACACAGTAGACATACAGTCTACAGCAGCAAACGAATATATTAACCCAGTGTCTGACAAGTGTCAAAACTTAAGGTTTTGGGATAAGAATTCATCATTTGCTAAAATTTGTTAGGAAAGCTGGAAAACAGCCTGGCAAAAATTGGGCATAGCCCGATATCTTACAGATTTACCTCATTTACCAAGATAAAGGGCAAAATGGATATATGACATAAAGGGAGATATCATAAGAAAATTAGAAGAACATGGAATATATTACCTATCAGACCTAGGGATAAGAGAACAATTTATGAATAAACAAGGGATAGAGAGCATTGTGATGTATAAAATGGATAAGTTCAGTGACATTAAATTAAAAAGGTTTTGTACAAATAAAGCCAATGTAGCCAAGATCAGAAGGAAAGCAGAAAATAGGGGTAAGATTTTTATAGACAGTTTTTAAGATAAAGGTCTCATATCTCAAATATTTTGTCAGATTTATAAGAATATGGAATCATTACCTAATGGATAAATGGTCAAAGGATCTGAACAGGCAGTTTTTCTTTTTTTTTTTTTCTTTCTGGTTGGGCAATGGGGCTTAAGTGACTTGCCCAGGGTCACATACCTAGTAAATGTTATGTGTCGGATTTGAACTCGGGTCCTCCTGAATCCAGGGCCGGTGCTCTATCCACTGTGCCACCTAGCTGCCACTTCTTTTTTAAATTAATTTATTTATTTTTAGTTTTCAACATTCACTTCCCTAAAATTTTGAGTTCTAAGTTTTCTCCCCCTTCCTCCTCCCCAAGACGTCCTGCAATCTGATATAGGCTATACATATACATTCATATTAAACATATTTTCACATTAGTCATGTTATAAAGAAGAATTAGAACCAATGAGAGAAACCACAAGAAAGAAGAAACAACAACAACAACAACAAAAGAGAGCAAATAGTCTGCTTCGATCTGCATTCAGGCTCCATAGTTTGTTTTCTGGATGTGGACAGCATTTTCCACCATAAGTCCACTGGAATTGTCTTAGATCACTGACTTGCTGA